AGAGTCGGCTGGAAAGAAAATCTGCAGCCTGCTGTGAGTCGCTGCTTTATAAAGTTCAATCTTTTCTCTCCAAACATCATCACACAGCAAGCATCCACGACTGTCGTCTGCACACGCTGCACCCTTCATTCAGCTTCTGATTACATCATCACACACGTCCAACATTAAATACTGTGAGTGTATGTGTGAGTGTGTGTGAATCAGCATCATGCACGAGTGACGAGCAGGCTGATTAAACGCTCTGAGGTGTGTGTGCTGCTCACACAGAGATGCGTCGGGCTGCTGCTCCCTCTGGCTGGCCTCCGTCAGGCTCGTGGCTCCACCGGGTCGAACTGAAACAGAGGAAACAGAGTCAGGACTCACCGAGCGCAGCGGATCACCACCGTCGACCTCCGAGCCGAGGCCTGAATGTTCGCTGCGAGCGGCCGGAGGGCAGATTTGCATTTTGCCAGGGAAACAGCCAAAGTGAAGAGGTGCAGCCCATTTGCTTATTTGGAAAGAAGCACAGCGGCTGCAGGTCCAGAGCACGCTCTGAGCAGTCAGGGATGTTTGGCGAGGAGGCGTCAGGTGACTAAAAATAAATGGAAATAAACCCTTTGAGGTCTAATGACCACAGAAGAAACACGTGAGGGTGGAGCTCCTCCTCCGTGTTTAATGAAGCCTGTGCTTCAGCGTTAGGCCTCCTGAAGATCCCAACGTTAAGGCCGTTGGTAGACATCTTTGACCTCGGGCTGCGTCGGCAGATTCTCCTTTAAAAAGTGATCTTAGTCAACCCTCGGGGTCATGTAGGCGGAGCTAACACAGGTAAGTGAAGGGTGAGAAAGGTCAAAGGTCCTGAAGCTCCTCATGAGAGCACCACCTCAGGTAACACAACGCTGCCTCTGCAGGTAAAGGTGGGTGTGGCTCATTCACAGGGAGCTGAGGGAGTCTGGTTCCTGCTGACCAATCAAACGGCGTCTTTCATTGGACGGCGCCCCGCTCAGGTGAAGCAGATGTTTTACACCAGTGTGTGAAGAAGAAAGGTGCACAGGTGTAAACGGTCAGTACCTCTGTGTCCATTATCAGACTGTATGTTGACCTTTAACCCCCGACACACCTGCCAGGTGTGCGTCAGCGCAGACGCGCAGCAGGCGGCGGCTCTCCTGACACGCAGCCAACACGAGTCGAGCCACAGCTGCAGCACATCTGGAAGAGCCAAACCACAACGAGTCAACGAGCAGCGCCTTCACCCGACACCTGTGAGCGAGCTCGCCGCACAAACACGCCAGCAGAGCCCCAGAACAGGAAGTGACGCTCAGCTGATTCCTAAATCCAGGAAACAAACACAGCTTCATGTGAGTGGAAGCCTGCACGAGCCCCGCCCCCCAGCACCTGCCCAGGTGCCTCAGAGCAATCAGTCTCTGCTCGGGCTGATAAGTGTCAGCTGCTCCACCTGCTGAAGGTGAAGCAGAGCGAGGTCAAAGAAACGAATCAGCCGTCCAATCAGCTCAGCAGCTTCACTCTATCATTAAATAATTACAGTGAGAACTGACGTCCACAGAACATGTGACGACTTATTGCTCTGAGGGCAGATAATCAGAATTAAGCCTCAAATATGCGTCACTGTGCGTGACGTCACACTGCAGAAACACACGTTAGCGTTTCTCGTCCCCCTCCAGGGTCACATGGTGGTGGGGAATGCTGTAGTTCACAGGCTGACCTGATGGGGGCGATAACTCGTCTGCATATAAACAAACCCTCAACTTCAGTCTGATTTACATTCAC